TACTCAACAGAAATAGTAAGGAAGCAGAATGTTCATTTGAAGTACCTGTCACCTTTGCTTGTAATGAGGGGATCATCTAACACACTATATTTTTATTTCCTCCCCTTTATAGTTTTGCACTTATCAGATCCAATAACAAGAGAGGTGATTTAGAGTAACAAAGCAATTCACAGAGGATATCATTTGATCCTGGGTTTTTGTGGAGGGTCTATGTAGCTGGTCCCATAGATCAGTAGCTCTCATGAGTGTAGATTTAATAGAGAGGTACTAGATATCCCCAGATTATTTTTTAAGTATGATTAATGATATTAGCTTTAAAATTAGAATGTTGAAGATATGGCTTTCGTCCGAATTTTTACTACTACTACTAGTATCTTCTGAAATATTCACGATCTTTATAAGATTAACGATATTTCTCTCCCATACACCTCAAACAGTTTTACATTTTTCGGACGATAAATACATTATTTTTTTTAATAAAACCATAAAAAATCATGCTAATCAATCATTTTATTATTTCTTATATCCGATTCCCACGGGAGAATGCAATAATTCAAACTTTGAACAATTTCTAATTAGCATGTAGGATTAATCAGCAGAAAAGAAAACTAAAGCGAACCTCGCACTTTAGTGCGACTGATTGACGATTCCTGGAGCTGAGGTCGTTAGTCCCATAAGTGTAGTGCATGGTTTTTAACTGGAGGTGACTATGATCTTCCGCCGCTGGAAGGCGAGATCTGGCGCCGACCGACGCGTCGGCTGCCGGGTTTTCCTCAACCAGGTACCTCCCAGCAACGGGGCACCGCCCCAGCCGGGATCAGCTCTGAGCACCCGACATATGTGGTAGTGTAGTACATGTAAGTGTGAGTGTAAGGGATGAGGATAGGACAAGGAAGAAGAGGGAAAGATCGCGCAGGGTCCGTGACCCGTTTATTAGGGTACTGCTTCGGCTTTCTCCTTGCGTTGAAGCCACGGAAGCCTACCGATCGGAGCAGCCGACTGCTAGAATTCACCTGACTATGGCTGAACTCGACCTTTTTATGTAGCTCGGGACAGGAACCCTAGGACCTGCTGGTTAGAGGCACTGCAGTGACATCAATTGATGCCCGGAGCCACCTAAGCCGGTACTTTCGTGCGAGGTTCCGCAGAGATAGAGCGGAAGACGTGAAGAAGAAAAAAGACACGCGAATAACACCTCAAACAAAGGAAGAGAACACATGGCAGGAAAACAAAAAGGGTATAAGCTTCTATGTGTTCGTGTTCTGAAATGAGATCGCACGGGAGGCAAACATCTAAAACAAAACTTTAAAGACGAGTACTAATAGACGGCGATCACATGTGCCATATTGCGTTTCCAGTTCGGAGGACCTAAAGTGAGAGGAGCGACGAAACAGTGCTTCGAAAGTTGAGGTAAAAATGGCTTGCGATTTCGCGAACCTGGATTCTGTACCATATTCGACGAGCTTCTTGATCACGATCATGATTGAGTATGATCAAATTACTAGATTGCAAAAAGTAAAAAAAGAAAAAAATCCTTTGTCGAAAAAATAATGGAAAAATAATCCCATGGAACAAAAAAACAAAAAAAACAACACGTGTGCGTATGTGGGGAGGGGGAGAAGAAGGGCAATGACATTCAATGCTGGCTCATAAGGGGGTGGGGGGTCGATCTTATCTATCAGTTCCCCAGAATCCCAGCCTATACATTCAGAAGCAATGGCTTATAGATGCTATAGAAATGCCATGTTCGAAAAATATATACAGTTTCTCAATCCAAGGAATGTGCAGCGAGTACAATTCATGGCGACTATTTCAATAATCGATAAGTTCCAGCCGCATAGTGAAACGAGGTAAAGTGTACACAAATTATAATAATTAAGTTTTATTGCTAATTTGTATAAAGTTTTCCCGTGTAAAAACTTTTTTAGTGTTTTTATACATCTGAAAATCAATGTAAAATGGTAAAAAACTTTAATTTTTTGAAAAAATATACATTTAAAAACGAGATCATTAAAATTAACTAGTGATAGAAAAACATATTTTTACTAATTATTAAGTTTTTAGTTCAAATGTTATAAAACCTTGAGGTCTCATACAGTAGCGCTGACAAGCAGGACTGCAGACAAGAAAGATCCCCAAATAGGAGTTTCTCACATTTATTATTTTGTTTTATATTGTTCACGTAACTTTTAGTCTAGCAATAATTCAGAAATACCGCTTAGGACATTAACAGTTCACTATGCATTTTATTAACATGGTATAAAATTATTACATTGTAGTGAATAAACGCTTTCAATTTCATTTATTGTTCGTAGTGTTCTTTAGAAACTTGCCAGTGTCAATTCCCCATTATTGTGTATTGCAATTCATCGTATACTCACAGAATGAACAGTATAGGCGAGAGAGAATTCAATAGATAATTGCAGTAGCAAGTGCTTGTGTTACACGGTTTGGCCATGATCTCTCATTTCTTCCCCCATAAAAGTTTATGGACGATCCACAATTGATGGGGAAAGGGATTTTACCAACGTCAGCGAGAGTTCAACAAAAGGCGTTAGAAGAAGTACGAAGAGCCACTTCTTAAAAATATGCCTCCCTCCAACCCTTCGCTACAAGGTGGCATTTTGTGGACTCAACGTTACAATGCGAAGAAGTTCCCTTCTTCGACAATCGCAGCGCTGAGACCAACAATATGAGAATTATGTATATTCAGTATGGTATGGCGTACACCTTCCTGTGCAGTATCGTTCTGCGCATCTACGACCTCCACGCAGTGCGACAATCGGATCGTAACTCGACCACCACCTCGAGACTATTCGAGTCCGTCAATATCTCTCAAATCTCTTCGATCGATGTCACGTAAATGTTTGGATAACAATAACTGATTTTATATTTAGTAAAAAATACACCTCTTAAATAGACAGCATGTAAATTAACCTATGAGTGAAAGGAGAATGAGATTTTATGTTACTAATGTAGCGTTCTTCTGGTTTAGATAAACCCAGGGCCCATTAGGATGCTACTTAGGGAGAAAAAAGGTACTTTCTGCGGCCGGAGTAACCCTCAGGGGCGAAGGTGGCCTCAAAAATGCGGATACCTGAAGTAGGGTTGAGTGTAAACATAACGAAATTCGCCTCGTTGATAAGAATACACATATAGAAATACTTAAAAACGCGGAGAAAATAATTGGGTAAGCGAATATCAGGCCAAACGTAATAAAAGTCACATATCTCGGAATGCATTGGATGTGGAGATAAATACAAAAAGTGATAAATACGAGGCAAAAAAGTAAAGTCATTCTGACTGCAACCTGTTGCGAGTTCGTTTTTGACCTCTGCTTTCTCAAAGCTCCGCGCCGGATGCCAACGAAATTTTTAATAGCGCATCTGCGCTAGCCTGATCGACGCCAAGAGCAACAGTCCCGGACCCAAGGGAGCAAATGCGTGGTAGGTCTTGGCTGGCTGTTGCACTTTACGTGGCAGCGACCGTGCAACACGGGAGTGATCTCATTCATGCACAGTATCATGTTGCGTGTTTAACATGCAGCGCTTCAAGCGGACATTTCCACAACTACCGTTTAGAGACGTATGTATACTATTCCGATCCCACAATCATCGCTCGCCTCTGATGCCTCCAGCGCGCGTTCGAGACGCAAATAGATGACATTGCACATGCAACATTCAGCGACTACCAAGAGACAGTTGGAGAATTTGACATTCGGCAAAGAGCAAAAAGCAACTCGTTCCCACAACTCGGGATTCAGCGAGCTGTCGCAAGGTACTCCTTGAATACAGCATGTATGGCGCAGCCTTTCTTATTGTCTCATTCATCTTCCACCTCCAGCGCTCGTTCGTATAGAGCCTTACCATATAGTATAGAGCCTCACCATACAGCGTTTGACGAGAAGGCACGTATGTGGCGTTCGGGGAGGACCGCTTAACTGCTCACCGAATCTCGAGTAAGGAGGACGAGTTGCTTGCTCTCTTTTGGTTTTCTGGTGTTTGACGCTCAAAAAGAACACAAGCAATTCATCTTCACTTTCCGGAATTCGCCACACGTCTTTAAACGAGCCCACTCTAGCCATCATGGCGTCGCCGCCCTTTTCCTTCTCCAGGTCATGTTCGTAACGCGTATAGACGTGAAGCACTGCTTGTATTCGTCCAACGGTCCTCCCTGTACGCCACATGTATGGCGCCGTCTTAACATAAGCCTTCTCTGGCCGTGAAGGCCTCGCCCACCTCTTCCCTCTCCAGCGCATGCTCGTAACGTGTATAGACGGCGCCTCACATGCAGCATTCGACGATTATCGCCCGCCAAAATCGGAGTAGTGGGGATCCTGCGTAGTAGCTCTTTGTTGGTTTTCTGGTGTCTGGCCCGCGGCAAAGCGCAAGCAACTCATCTCTATTTCCTAGAAGCGGTACACGCCGAACGCTGCATGTGAATCGGTCTATACACGTCGGGTGGTCCTTCCAAATCACCAAACCTACGGCGCCGCCTTCACTCAAGCCTGCTCCAGCCGTGAAGGCCTCTTCCATCTCCAGCTCACGTTCGTGACGAGTGCAAACGGCGCCTCACATGCAGCATTCGGTGAGAATTGCGCCACCCAAATGCAGAGAAGTGCGAGGTGGGGGTTGTTTTCTCGTGTTTGGCAAGACCTCATCCCACTTTCCTAGAGCGGTACACGCGAAACGCTGCATGTGAATCGTTAATACACGTGGGGGTGTCCTTCCAGATCACCAAACTACGGCGCCGCCATTCACACAAAGCCTCTCCAGCGTGAAGGCTCTTCCATCTCCGCTCAGAGAATGGAGGTGGGTGGTAAGCCCCTCATTTCCACTCCCCGGGAGCGCCAGAAGCGCAACGCGAAGCGCCGCTTCAAGGTCCTCCCCCGTGCGGCGTCGGCCTCCGGGCGCGCAGGCGTGGCCGCCCGCCGCCTGCGTTACCCGCGCCCTCGTGCGCGCGGTGGCGTGGCCGGCGCGCGCGTGGCGGCGGCGCGTGAGTCAGACGCGTAGCAGCGACGCCCGCGGCGCAGGCGGGTAGCGCTGCGCCAGGCGGCGGGCGATGCGCGCGTACGCCTGCGCGTTGGCGCGCTCGTGCGCCGCGCGCGCCTTGAGCTCCGACGGCGCCTCGCGCCGCTTCACGCCCGGCACGTGCACCAGGAAGGCGCCGTCCAGCACCACGAAGCGGTAGCCGCGCAGGCACATCTCCGCCGCCTGCGTCATCTTGTCCTGATGAGCACACACACACACACACATGCGCATTGGTCACTCCGCGCCGGCCGCTCCACCTGCTGCGGCCGTTAGCAGAGAGCGATTTTTATAAGAATGAGCTCGCTAAACAAGTGAACATCACGTGTAGATCATTCTCTCCGCGAGGCAGCTGTTCAGCCGCGCCTCAACGTAAAGTGTTTGTTTATGGCCCCCGTAAAGATATACAGAAGTCTAAGGGTTTCGCTCAGGTATATGCACGTACGTTTCGCTCAGGTATATGCCGGGAAATATTGAAATACAATTACGTATTTGGGAATGTGTCTCAAAAATGTCTGGTGGCGCATTATGTTTTCGTCGCACGAGGTCATCACGAAAGGAAGCGTCCAAGCTATTTACAAGTTAGTCAACTGCAAACGAACGAATGCAGGAAGGAGAGACAAATAGGCTCAAGAACACAACGACCACAGAACCTTCGGTTCTGTTGCCAACACTAGCCGTCAAAACGGCCCATTCTTATAAAAATCGCTCTATACCGTATGTGTAGGGCACGACTGAGAGAGGTAGCTCAGGGCATCAACTGATGACACTGCGTGCCTCTGATCGGGATCCTAAGTTCAAGTTCGAAGACACGTATTAATTTTGATTGAGACTTGAAGGCATTTCCAGTCCCCCTGCAACATGAGCGGCACTTTATTGTACAATCTCATGTCGGACTGATTGTTAAGAGTTTTCCTAGTTTTAATACGTCCGTTTTTATTAATGTTTTGCACACACACACACACACACACACACACACACACACACACACACTAGCAACACAAGAATAGCACAAGACTAGCACATATATAGTACAAGACTAGCACACTTATTTGAAGGTTGCACACTTATACAACACATTTAACTTCTAATGTTTACATCGTACACACTATTCCTGTTAGCCCTGGCGTCGATATGTCATAAATCGACCGTGGCGCGTAGGCACTAAAAAGATGCAAGCATCGGTCGCGCCCAATCACGCAAGCGCGACATCATTCAAGACGAGATGACCCCAAGAGCTTCCTGGGAGATAAAACGGGGCGCCCTGGGCTGGTTTGTCTCAGCCAAACGGTGTTACTCACGGAGTGCGTCTGGAAGTATCTACGCGCTGTTAGATGTTTTACGAGTAAGACTTTGGGTCAAACCGAAAAGGTAGTCCCCGTCCATAAATATTCGAAATAGGAGCCTAACCTCACCGATTGACTACTGCAGTAGGTATTTGATGTCCATGTAAGTGTATTTCTACCTCTGCGGCGACCTTGAAGCTACCCGAAGTACGCAGGCTACTGCTTCGAATCCCACCCAAGGCATGTGTATTTTCAAGTGATTGTGACGTGATTAACTTTCCCATACCATCACGTAACTCATCTCAACATCCAAGATTACCACCAGAATTAATCACCTGTCATCATTAATCACACTTATCACATCACTCCCACAACCCTTCGTGTAAAGGAAGGCAATGCTAAACCAGCATAATGATCAACTGCCCAGGAAAGAGGAGAACGTTCCGCATAAACGGTTGCAATTTATGTGACATTTACTTCTGATTCGAGAGTACATTCTAAATAAGTAAGGTATGCATTATAGGAAACTAAAGAATCATTCATCGTCAAGTTTAGTAAACTATTCAGAATTAAGGAATACGTTATAAATAATTGCAAATAATATGTTTTCAACTTGTCTACTGTAATAACGCTTGAACTCATTTGTCATAAAAAAATATGAACAGTGAACATCGTAGTGAACCTACTGTGAATTACACGGAAAACGATTTTAGTTTTTCACAATTAATTTAAAATATGTTTTTAAATTTTCGTTACCATGATTCTTCCAACTATAATTTCTACACCCAATTTTTAAATTTCCGGGTAGGACTTAAAACATTTGAAGAGTTGATTCTTAATTTGTAAGTTTAATTAATTGTCACACGTCTTTCGTATCCATTCCCCATCAAAGTCAAGAACGTGAGAATTTTTATAAACTACTTCACACTTTTATACTCCTTGTATTATTCTTTATGCAATTTGCAGTGCTTGAAGCCACAACGGCGTTTCCTGGAAGCGCTATATAGAAAAATGTTTATTCTCACTATAGGCATTGGCAACATTTTAACCGTCATTCTGCGACAATCCACAGGGCAAATGCACTTCAGCGCGAAGAAGGTGGAAATATGGCGGCAGTGCCTCGGCTGTTTCTCCCAGACTTAATTAGTATGCTTTATGAATGTTGACTGGTAATTAATGAATGAAAATGATTGAAAATTGTCAAACACAAAATTGTCACATGATTCTTTAAGTAATCACCAGTCACGGACATTTTGCTAGACAGAATAAACTGTCACTGGACATTTTCAAAAATAAATTTAATATGGAAGCCATGAAATTGCTATTACGATTGAAAATCCACTGTATATGAGAAAAACATCGAAAGATAATATGGCTCTAGGTATATCGTAATGGATCAATAGATAAAACAGATTATTAAGAGGTTGAACTCGAGTGGGGGAAAATCGCATGCCAGAACGTCAGAAGAATAGTATTGACAGACCTTGTAAAATAGGACAGTTCGTTCAATATGGTGCTTCAACATCGTTTTGTACTGTCAGCGCGATGCATAGCCACGAACGCACGCCAGGGGACTTGTTTCTTCTTGACACTTCTTTTCCCGCTGGCCTTAAAGGCCTTTACCAGCTCGGCTCTGCCTCACGGTAGATATATATGACAGGATCACAAGTGACCAATTGGTGAATGACTTTGTCGGTTGAGACAATCTGGTTTGTGATGCGTGCTGCAGATTTGATCAGCGCGATTAAAGTAATACGAGTGAAGTGAAGATGAAATTTTAGCTCGTCGTTCAGTTCAATTTGAAGGAGACTGGAAGTACATCAAGTGGTAATACTGCAGAATAGGTCCCATAGGTGCACAATGAAAGCCCCCAGATATCAATTTACGAGAAGGACGTATGTGGTTATTTACGAAACTGACAATGGAATGTGGAAGTTATGAATGAATACGACATTCCATACAGCAATAAACAAACAGCCCGGACACTAAATCCATTATATAGAAATTTACCAGAGACATAGGAAATTAGCTTATTAATTATTACTTCTTACTAGTAATTTTTCTTCCGTAGTGTATATAAAAGAGAACAGTGACATATCTGCGGAAGTCAAAACTAATGGGGCCAGAAACTAGAAATTTGGAATATTACGCGTTACACAAAGAAATTAATGATTCAAAATATTTCACTTGAAGGCGTGACAAGGGCGTTGAAGGAACAAAGAAATAAAGCGAAAGATTCAATTCAAGGGAAACCGACAATTCACTAGGCTTGCCAGACGGGGCAAAGATGGCCTTGCCGGGAATGTAAATAAAATTATTTTCATGTTCAATACAATGAAGTTCTTTTTCTATCCAATACATAATTGGGATAAATAAAAACCAAGACAATGTTGGATTACCGATGCAATTTTATGGTATCAGAATATGCATGACATAAAACCACGACTTCCACACTACCAGTTACAGCCATGTTACGGCCTACGACAGGCAACGACAGCAATAGGTTGAAGTCCGACACTTTCCGACTATGTTTGTTGTGAATTTACATTCATTTTCTCTTTATTAATAGTTTCGTCAGTTGCATCATTTGGCATGGTTATCATAAACGCCAGTCACAAAAATGCCGAACCGTAAAAAGCAAAATCATCTCGCAACAATATGTGTGAGTGTTTCTTACCATCATCTCATATACGAGGCAGCGTTGAAAAACTTCCTTTAGGAGCGTCCAGAGCATCGATTTTTCCTTTTCACTACCTCTGAAATTACTTTCCAAAACAAAGGAGGAGACAAAGACTGCCAAGTTGATCAATTTAGGGTGAGAGACAAGGGAAGGGTGAGACTTTTTTCAAGAGACGCTCCTGAAAATGAGTTTTGAAGTTTGTCGAGTCAACGTCCTTGACACATACGCTCACCAGAAATTGCCTACCCTTAGAGAGTGCACTGACATTTTATGAAATTAATTTTCTCGGAGCATGTTGGTTGTATCACCCTCCATGCAACATTTCCCATGTTACATTAATGTTCTCAACTGTTAAGTAGAAAACTAATATAATTGCTGTGATACATTTTACAGATTAAATGTCAGAAACAATCAGCACCTACACACCTCAACCCCGCCTGAAGACACCTCGTCACATCAGCATTCCCACAACCCACAATTAATGGCTAGCCAAGAATGCTACGAGGCCTCTGATGAATGCGAAAATAACATGACCTCCAAAATGTATTACACATCTATACATACTTTGAATCCTCTCATTTGGAATCACAAATAAGGTTTTTCAAAAAAGGAATTTCAGTTGGCGATCCGAGTTAAAGTTCAAAGGTTCCCTCGGATGATTCATTGTGTCACATCTCATTCCATCTTTGCCTCGTCATTATCGTCACACCTCTTCATTAATAATATTAGATTTACTCTTCCCATTAATAATCTCGGCATCATTTCACTCTCAATCACAGCTACACCCTTATGGTCAATCTCAACCTTAGTCTCAATCTCTATAACACACTCAGCCTCAGCCACAATAATTTACTCTGTCACAATTACTGTCTCAACTACGTCTCATGTAGCCATCAATACAGTTACTGCTTCTCCCACAGCTTCAGAAACCTCTCATGGCTCACATACCACTCATAGCCTCAGCAATCTCTCAACCTCAGCCACTACACACAGCCTCAGACACCACTCACCGACTCAGCCTCTGCTCACTGCCCCAGCCACTCACAGCCTCAGGTACCATTCACTGCCTCAGCCACCGCTCAAACCTCAGTGACCACACACAGCTTCAGTCTCCACTCACTGCCTCAGTCACCTCACATTCTCAGACACCACTCACAGCCCTAGACACCACTTACTGCTTCAGCCTCCGCTCTCTGCATCAGCCACCACTCACTGCATCAGCCACCACTCACTGCCTCAGCCACCACTCACTGCCTCAGGAACCGCTCACTGCCTAAGCCACTACACACACCCCCAGCCACCGCTCCCAGACTCACCCACCTATTCTAGCCTCAGCCTCCACTCACTGGCTCAGCCACCACACAGCTTGTCATAGTTACTGTTTCAGCCACCCTTCCAGCGTCAATCATCCTTACAGTGTCATCCATACTCAACCTCACACAGTCTGCTACAGACCGAGAATCATCCGTAGCGGCGACAGACATCACTCCCAGATACGTGAAATTAACCGCACCTGCCGTCCCTCCCACGTGAGCGCCTCGCTGTACAGCGGGTCGGCGGCGGTTGCCCACGAAGATTGGGCTTCCAGCGGTGGTAGGGCGGGCTGCGCGCCGCGCCGCCAAGACAGAGGGCGTCACTGCGTCCGTGCACCGGGCGCGGTGGCGTCGAGCGGGCGCGGCGGCCGCTGGCGGCGGAAGGCGGGCGCGACGCGAGGGCGTCGCCCGCGGCGGGGGCGGGGGCGAGAGGGGGGCGCCGGCGCTGACGCGCAGCCAGCGCAGCAGTCCCGGGAAGCGCTGGCAGTGAGGGCACAGCCAGCGGTGGAAGACGAACGCCGCCTCGCGCGCGTACAGCTCCAGCAGCTCCGCCTTGGTGGACGGCACGCAGCCCGCGTCCGCCTCCACCTGCGCACGCGGGATTGGTACGGGAAGCAATGGAGTCAACGTTCCAGCCACCACACACAGACTCAGACACCACCTCAGCCACCACGCACAGACTCAGCCACCACACACAGCCTCAGCCACCACACACAGACTCATCCACCACACACAGCCTCAGCCACCACACACAGCCTCAGCCACCACACAGCCTCAGCCACCACACAGCCTCAGCCACCACATACAGCCTCAGCCACCACACAGTCGAGGCAACGTTTCAGCGTTGATTATTAATTTTTTTCAGCGTTGATGTTTACTGCTAAGGTCATTTGTCTCGAAGTGTACTGGATGTACTTTTCTTGGAAGGTTACCGGTGATCTCCTCCCGCTGGATGCTGATTCCGGTGACGATTGACACACCGATTAGTGGAGGTAGCTCAAACACAAATAATGGGGTACTGCTCCGGCATTCACCCTCTGTTGATCGGTGAAGCCACCGAAAACTATCAACCAGAGCAGCCGGCAGTTAGAATTCTCCTCCAGATATCAGCAGCATTCGGCCTAGGTAGCTAGTGCCGAAAATACTGCCTCCGTTGGAACTTAAACTCTAAGACCTCTCGATCAATGACATCAGTTATGCCCTGAATCACCTAAGCCGTTTTTCAAATATTATCACATTGCTTCCGCATTTTATTTAAATTTATAATAAAAGAATAAATCTTCACACACACGTAGTCTAAGTTCGTGCATATACAAGTATCGCGCCATGATTAGTTTTTCTGAAGAAAAAAACGCGACTCTATATGCAGAGGGGAAAATGCGCGAAATCATATTTTACATTTAAAATATAGAACTTCTCCTCGTCCTTATGAGAGTTCAGTACTGTCTGGACAAGCTGTTGACCCCATAATTCCAAATAATTGTAAGATTTCGCAAAGAAGATGCGAGTATTGCTTGCTCTGTTGTAACTCGAGCCAAGTGCAGTAGTTGGTCGCTATATTGTTTCTACACGGAGCAGAGTATTTTTTCTCCTTTTTAAGAACTGTTAGTCGTCAATCAAATAGCGTTAGTCGTCATTCAAATAGCAATGCAATTAACAATATTCGCCGGACACGAAATATATGCTCGTTGAACTGTTATGAATGTTGGTACACGCATAAAACGTGGGCAGACACCATATGACGGGAGCCACCCAAGCGTTGCGTCAGCGACTCACTATGTGACAGAATAGCGATAGATATCTACTTACTTGAAGGAGAAACACAAAACAGAATTGCACTGACTCATCGCATTAGTTCGAGAGATCAAAAGACACTCAGGACATACGAGTAGTCATTTGACTTAACTTTTATTGTATCACGTAAGTGCAGTGGCGGGTGGTGCCCCAACAGAATGAATCAAATGACGGAAATGTAATTTCCAAAATTTAAAAAAGAATATACAATACGAATATACAATAAACAATACAAAGCACTTCAAATAAAATTAAGTTAAATAAAAGTCTATACTGAAACATTACTTTCATAATTTTATGCGTATTGTTCGTGTCAGGTGTATACACCTTTCGCGCAAGTGGTTTTGGCTATGACATCCACCAGGCACTTACTAAGTTTGACTCCAGCACATTGCAACAAGCACTATTACTTCGACACGATTTACACCCACACAAAAATATTTATTTCAAAACTTTCACTACCCTAGAATATTTTGTAGTAAAGATCCTCCCACGCACACACTCGAATTCTCACGAGCGTTCTCCGACTGTAACTGCAGGCTACTTCAGGCGGAAATATGCATCCACCGTGAGAGACAGAATGGGATTTCCTTCCAGAACGGCTAACTTTACAGAAATAATTAATCAAGTGTACATTTTGAATCAATAAATCTAATATCAAATGAAAACAAATTCTCTCAACATCATAAATAATGCATTAAATGCCATCAATAATTCATTGATTTTGAGTTTTTACGCGAAACTCGAGTACACGCGAACTTCATAAAATGAAGCTGCCACTAGTCAGGCGAGGACAGAATATTGGTGTTTCTCTCAGATTCCCACGATCGCGGCGAAGCGCTTCACAGCGCTCGGCACCCTACCTATTTGGTTGCGCTAAAAATGCCGTATGTTCCTGTGTTAAAGCAAAGGTTCCAAAGAGTAAATGCAGTAAACTCAGTAATAGAGCCAAGAGCGTGGGGCCATTCCTGGGAGTAACCAGACGCCGGAGAGAGCTCCAGTTGTGCGCTCTTTGGTTTCAAAATGATTTCATGTACATCGGTTTTGCTGCAATATCTTGAATATTGAATGCCATTAAAAAGAAAGTGTATATTCCTATGGTATTATAAAATATTTTCCGATTATCTGGGGGTTGTTGCAACTGTACAACCTAAACACGAAACCGCCTATGCCAAAGTGTTATAACAGGACGAAATGCTAATCTCACAAATTCAAAACTTCAGGTCGTATGCAATGGCCATACGGATCCTCAAGATACTCATAAAAACTCTGCTGCCTCTATAAACAGTCAAATTAAAACAATAATTCTTAACTTTTTCTGGAGATCCTTGGGCCTCTTTCAAGATTCCACAGCATTCTTCAAAGACCTCTTAGTATTCTTGCATTATTTTTGTAATTTCACGCACCGTTGATCTCTGTCGTTTTAAAGACTTACTACATCTGTCTACGCCACATAAAGAGGGGAGGACGAGTGGAATTTCTCTGACATTCATGGTACAAAGGCGGAGAACGCTTTATATCTGAGTTCACGTCCATAGACTAAGCTGATCTGCGGAGAAGGGAGAATTGAAAAAAATAACCTTTCCCCAAAATAATTCTCTTTTTGCTCTTTTTCGGGGAAGAGATAGTAGTAGTATTAGAGTCTCGGGAGTTGCTAAAACGAGAAAATTACTCCGTTGACATTATTGGACAATGGAAGAACATTTATTGTGGCGCCCAAGACTCGTATTTAAGGATTTTTTATTCCGAAATTGCTTCGTTTTTGTATCGCAATGCACATTTAAAATAAAGAATTCAATGGAATAGAGCTATGGAAATTCATAGTATAAGACGAATTCGTCGGCGAAAGAATGGTTTGACAAGCTTTTTCTTCACAACTTAACATGCTTATGAGGCGTTTGTGGAGATATACAGATATCTTTATTTACTTGCATGTTTCAAAACGGAAAACAGTTTAGTTCATGTTTTGTTAAATATACTTTAATTTGAAAAGAAAGTGATTAGATTTTGGCATACAAAGTAGATAAATAATTTTCTGCTTCAAATGGTGTACTGTATTTACCCAAAATGCCATTCTAAAGTAATCTTTAATTATTCATTTCCAACAATGATTTCTTTAGCATCTATTTAATAATTGCTACCTATTTTAATTCTTTACTTCTAATTTAATAATCATCTACATTTAAACATACACTGAAGAGCCGCAACAGGATGTGGCATGGACTCGACTAACGTCTGAAGAACTGCTGGAGGTAATTGAATCCATGAATCCCGCAGGGCTGTTCATGAACTCGTCAGAATACGAGGGAATGGAGATCTCTTCTGAAGAGCACTTTGCAAGGCATCCCGGATATGCTCAATAATGTTCATGTCTGGGGGTTTTGGTGGCCAGTGGAAGAGTTTAAATTTAGAGGAGTGTTGCTGTAGCCACTGTGTTGCAAATCTGGACCTGTGAGCTGTCGCATTGCCCTCCCAACTTCGTCCGGATGCACAGCGGACATAAATGGGTGCAGGATGTTTACGAACGTGGCACCTGTCATAGTCGTATCTAGACGTAACAGGGGGCCCATTTAACTCCAACTGCACGCACCCCATAACATAACAGAGTCTCCTCCATCTTGAACTGTCCCCTGTTGACATGGAGGGTCCATAGATTTACAAGGTTGTCACCATGCTCGCACACGTCCTTCCGTTCGAAACAATGTGAAACGAGATTTGTCAGATCAGGCAACGCGTTTCCAGTCATCAACAGCCCAATGTCGGTGTTAAAGAGCCCAGGCGAGGAGTAAATATTTGTGTCGTGTAGTCATCAAGGGTACACAAGTGGGCCTTCGGAACGAAAGACCCATATCGATAATGCCTCGTTGAATGGTTCGCTCGCTGAAACATGGTGATGGCCCAACACTGAAATCTGCAGCAATTTGCGGATGGGTTGCTCTTCTCTCACGTGTAATGATTCTCCTCAGTCGTCGTCGGTCCCGTTCTAGCACGATCTTTTGGCGGTCGCAGCGATGCCGGAGGTTTGATGATTCCCGATATTCCCTCGTGAAATGGTTGTACGGGAAAATCCAAATTTCATCGCGACCTCGGAGTTGCTTTGACCCATCTCTCTTGCGCCGACTATACGACATTCAAAGTCACTTAAATCGTGATAACCTCCAATTGTAGCAGTAGAAACCGATCTAACAACTGTGCTAGACTCTGGTTATCTTATAAAGTTACCAACCGGAGCGACGAATTCTGATTGGTTCCAAATCTCTTTATTTCAATACGCATAACTGTACCGTATTTTTGACTCTTCAGTGTATTAGGATGCATAACTTCGCATTTGATATGAAGCTCATTTTCTTTTCGATAACAATAAGAACGAATTCACGAAAACGATGTAAAGCATCAATGTTCATTTTTTCTATTGTCCTTGAGTCAATCGACTGAATCCCAATAACACGACAAGGAACTGGATTCGGATTTCTAGAATTAGTTCCCTTTGTGCGGCAGCGTGGAAGAATCCATTCTTCATGGTTCGGCTCCAAACAAAGCAAAACTCCCTACATAATGGAAAGCTTCTAATTCAAGCTAATTGAAGGAAAACGAACTTCTCTGTACTGTAAGTACGTCCACCTCTTGGTGTCAGTCAAAACAATTTTAGTTGAAAGAAAACCAGTTGAATTCAAAGAATGAAAGAGAATAAATAATAGAGATGAAGCAAAGTGAGTATCCGGGAACTTAAGTTAACTGACTGTAAAAGACCGAACTTGTAGAATTGACTAAAATTAGTTCTTCGAGAAAAGGTG